CTGAGCTCCTCCAAACTGATTCCCACTGTGTACCCTGTCTCCCGTTGGAAGAGAAGTTTCTAAAGTTTAAAATGTCCTTCTCCATTTGATACTTTCTCTTTTTAGTTTTTAAATAAAGGTAATACATGCAGGCCTAGGATATATCTCAGCAGCATAAATTCCTGCCTGACAAGCACAAGGTTCCAAATTCAATCCCCACTACAAAAAAAAAAAAAAAAAAAAAAGGTAATGCATATAAGGGTACAAAGTGGAAAAACAGTCTTCCTCCCAGGTACCACATTAATGTAAATTTTTCAACTCTCTTTATATTACTAATGACTAAAAAATATGCACACTACCTAGGCCCTTTTAATTTACACAGTGATGATCTTATTCTACACACTATTCTATATAATGCTTCTCTTACTAATACCCTAGATTTTTTTTTCATACCAGCACATGTATGAACCTCCAACAGTCTCTTGTCTCACTCAAAATTAAATGCAATGCCCTTATGTCATTGGCTGACATATATTGATGCTAAAAATCTCAATTAAAATATTAGTAACCCAAACACAATATGTAAAAAGAATTACACATCACAACCAACTTGGGTTCATTAAGAGTTGCAATGTTCATTTAATATTCAAAAATCTATGTAACATACATTAATAAAGAAAAGGAAAAAAAGAAGAAAAGGGATGAAATTGCACACACTGGGTATTATACATTCTGTGTGGCCTGAGGCTTTGTGGATATGGCTTGCATGGCCACCCGCTCCCCAGCTGACCAAGACAGGTTTATTTGCATCTACCCTGCTTATTCAAATAACAAGAAAACCATCAGAGGGCAGGCGGATCCCAATAAGTAAGGCTGTTGAAAATCCTTGAGATTTAAATCCTTAACGGGATTTAAGATGTATGCTCAGCAGTTGGACTTAATGCATTTATTGAGAAAAATAAGACGTAGTCTAGGAAATGGAATCGTGATATTCAGTACAGAGGCCAAGTCCGAGTCCAGCTGAAGCAGAAAGCTGGCAGCCTCTGTCTGGGGCAGTTCCCATCATGTCAGTTAGTGGTGTTGTAGGCAGCAGAAATGATGCCTAAGCTACAAACCAGGATCCAGAAAACAGGAGGTGGTGACCCAAATCTTCAGCAAGGAGAGGGAAGTAAAAAGTGAAAAAGGAAGAAGTGGTCGGCTGTGAACATCAAGGGGGTGACCCCTCTGAAGGGACACAGTGGGGGCATCTTTGTCACTTTTCTTTTGGGTTTTTTTTTTTTAAATTTTATTTATGTGTGTGTGTGTGTGTGTGTGTGTGTGTGTGTGGCCAGCTCAGCCCACCAGGGGGCGGGGCTGTCTGGCATGTGGTGCTGGGGGATTGAACCGCGGTCCCTGTGCTTTGCTAAGTTTGTTCTAAGTAGGTGCTTTAGACCACTGAGCCATCTCACCAGCCCGTCACTTTTCTTTTGCATCAATCGCCTGAACTACACATTTGTGCTATCTTCATCATCAGAGTTGACTGTAAAATGAGTCCATCACAGTAGAATGCAGTGGAAATTTGCATCTAGTTTTTATACAGTAAAAAACAAAAATATTTCAATGAAGAGTTTTTGTGAAAAAGTATTTTTAATTGGATAGTGGACTTCCAGAAGTTATTGGAAATCTATCTATCCTCTCTGTAAGCATGTATTTCTGATAAATAAGTTTAGTAAGACTTGAAATACATGTTTTGTTCCATCTTTGAATTAATTATTTTTATTTTATTTTATTTTATTTTTGGTGGAACTGGGGATTGAACTCAGGCCCTTGCACTTGTCAGGGAAGTGCTTATTCTACTGAGCAATCTCCCCGGCCCCCCTTTGAATTTTTAAGCTGAAAAAAATTGCACACATTTATGATAAATAAACAGATAAAGGGAATGTCCTATATCTGATAGGAGTTTGTAATGTCATTGGGGATCAGCATAGTGATTGCGTCTGGGTAATAGGACAGAGGGGACTTTTTGCAACCATAATCTTTTATTTCTAGGTTGGGTTACCTAAGTGTAGTTACTTTGTGATAGCTGAACTGTACACATGAGTTGGGATAGTTTGCAGCACATGCATTATGCTTTTGTTAAACTATATTTTTGGTGCTGAGAGTTGAACTCAGGACCTTGTGCTTGCCAGGCAGGCGTTGTACCGCTGAGCTATATCCCCAGCTCAAACTCCATTTGTAAATGTCAAAAATGAAAGACAGAGGACAGAGCACACATGTGAGTGCAGAGAAAGAACTGCGAAGAAGCGTGTTGAATAATTCCCAGGTGGCTCTGTGCCTACCCCATGGTGCAGTCTTAGGGTGAAGATGCTGGGAAGAAGATTTTCAGTGAGGAGGGAACAGGTTGGTGCAAAGAAAGGTTCACCCTGTTAGATGAGGGATGTATCAAGAAACCAGGGATTCAGTGCCAGCTTCCCTCAGAGACTACATTGTAGGAGAAGAAAAATTTTCTTCTATCCCTTTAGTTTTGGTGGCTGGGCCTGACAACTAAACATATGATAGATTATCAGGGGAAAGCACATTAATATTATTTAGTATTTTTGCACACACAGTAGCCATTTTGAAGAAAATGAAGGCTTGGGGGTGTGGCTCACAGGTAGAGGGCTTTCTTCGCATGAGCAAGGCCCTGGTTCCAACTCCAATACTGCCCTGCATGCATAGTACATAAAAAAAGAGACAAAAAGGAAATGTGAAGAGCACCAGAAGATGTGAGGGCTCATAGTGTCCCGACCTGCAGGTTAGTCAACGAGGACCCTAGAGGGGGAGTGGGGATGAGAAGGGACAGGAGACACAAAGAATGGAGACAAGACAGGATTCTGATCAAGTCTCGTTTATTCAGGGGAGGTGCTGGATATACATAGGGAGTGTAGGAATGAGGAAGTCTCGGCTCTTGGGGTCAGCAGGTATCTAGGCAACGGAGGAAGGTCCCACCCCTGGGGCATATCACGGGGAATGGGCAGGGCGGGAAGGACCAGAAACTTAACTCAGCAGGGGAATAGAAACTTAAGAAAATGGCTGACACTATTATAAAATGGATACCACTTAATGGCTTCCCACATCATAGCTTATCTATCTACCTTTTTAAACAGAGTACAGGGGCTGGGGAGATAGCTCAGTAGAATAAGTGCTTGCCTGGCAAGCACAAGGTCCTGAGTTCAATCCCCAGCTCTGCAATAAATAAATAGAGTACAAGAGCCAGCAAGATAGCTCAGCAGACTAAGCATGAGCAGGGTATCAGGTTCGATCCCTGGCATCACATGCTACGGGTGTAGTGGCACACGCCTGTAATCCCAGAGTCGGCGAGGCTGAAAAAGGAGGATGAGTCCGAGCTGTATAGTGAGACCCTGTACCAAATAAATAAAAATAATAATAAACAGAACACAAGGGCTAGGGTGTGGGGTAATTCTGCGGAAATGAGTAGGAAACATACAGCGGACCTCAATGGAAGATAAGGATTGTATGTTTTAATAAAACTGCGGTCCCTGTGCTTTGCCAAGCTTGTTTCAAGTAGGTGCTTTAGACCACTGAGCCATCTCTCCAGCCCCAAGGATTGTATGTTTTAATAAGACTTTCTTTGCAGATTCATCTTTGCAGCAACTCTTCCTGGTAATAGGAGCACACACTCCTTGGCACAGGGGCAAGTTTCATGTCCTGCCTCAGGCGGAAAGCCTGCTTCGGGAAGATATTCCTTCATCTGTTGTTGTTCTGCTGTCCTCAATTTTAAGGACTGGGTATTGTGGCATCGATTGCACCGAACCTCCTCAGTATTACTCTAAAGTAAGATATTTTTTGTTTGTTTGTTTGTTTGAGGGTCTCTGGAAATGCTGAATCGCCCATGCTAGGCTGGAATTTGTGATCCTCCTGTCTCAGCTTCCCAGAGTGTCTGCATTAGAGGCCTGTGCTTGACCCTTGCTTCCAAACACTTTTCTGATTAGTCTTCACTTCATAACACCCCTGGAAGGTTACTTATTTTCCTGTTGAGAAATTTAGACTTAAGGCCATCATGGTTGGGCCACGGCCCTTTGTGCCTCAAAGCCCAGCACGGCCGGGAACAGCGCCAAGCTCAGTGGCCATGCCGGCAGCCAATCCAAATGCAGCTGCCAGTTAACAGGGATGATACCTTGCACTAAGTTTGTCATAAACGCTAAATGAGATTTTACGATGTCTTAGGCGTTTATTATGTCTCCTCTTTCCCCCAACATAATCTTCAAGATTTCTCCAAGTTGCCAGCTCCGGGAAATCCAGATCATCAGAAGAATGTGCCAAGCAGCTCCTGCCGGTTGAGAGCACAGGGAGGATCACCTTTCTCAGCAGCGGTGGTGCCCGCTACTGGCATTAACAGAAGCCATCTGGCTCCTCGGCCTAGGCCGCCTGTCTGCTTTCAGGTGTGCTTCTGCGACTGCGGGGACTCCAGACCCTCTCAGGGGGTTTCCTCGGAGACAGAAGCGTGTATTTCCCGACAACTCAGCCCAGCACGTGCCTTTCCACTGCCACCTGCCGTGCACATCCAGAGGCAAGCCCCGGGCTCAGCAGCTGGCGGCTCAGGCACTCGAGCTTGGGAGATTAGGCCTTCAGGTCTCCGTTTTTACTTTTAATGAAATAAGAGCCACGGGCACAGCCCACACGAACAAAAGTACTGGGCGGAGGGGTCCAAACTCGGAACTCTGAAGGCGCAGAAGGGTCCTGAGTAGGGCTGTCAGTTTCAGCAAATTAAGTCCAAGCTACCCAGAAACACCCGGATTTCCGATCAGCGATCACAAGTGACACACATTCTGAAAAAAAATTGTTAACTGTAATTCACACTCAACTGTGCAGCCCATATTTCAGGCGGCAAAGTGTACCCTTCAGAGACCCCAAAGTTTCCCAGGCGACACAGCCGAGCGGCAGCCGGCCAGCCCCGCCGCGGGCACTTCCGGTTAGGCGGCGGCGCAGGGCGCAGGGCCCGCCCATCACCGGAAGAGCCCCGCGCCCGGCCGGACCCCACCCGCCCGCTCGCTGTCCCGTGCCGCCCGCCACCCCGCGGGCCGCAGCGTATCGCTGCGCGGCCCCGGTCCTCGCCCACGGCCGCCTCGCCGTTGCCCTGTTAACAGCCGGGGAGGCGGGCCGACCCGCGGGCGGCCGGGACCTGCGGCCGCCATTCCCGTGTCGCTGCGCCCGCGCGGGCCGCCCGAGCCGGCCACCATGCCGCTGGGCCTGAAGCCCACCTGCAGCGGCTGCAAGACCACGTCGTCCTCCATGTGGAAGAAAGGCCCGCAGGGCGAGATCCTCTGCCACCACTGCACGGGCCGGGGCGGCGCGGGCGGCGCGGGCGGAGGCTCGGGGGCGGCAGGTGGGACTGGGGGCGGCAGCGGCGGCGCCGGCGGCGGCTTCAGCTCGACGACCTTCGCCAGCACCTCGGCCGCGCCTGCGCAGAGCAACGGGGGCGGAGGCGGCAAGCAGGTGAGCGCGGGGGCGGGCGGGCCTGGGCCCCCGCCCGGACCCCGACCCCGACCCCTTTCCCTGCCCTTCCCGTCCCGGGCGATCCGCGAAGGCCGCATCCCCACGGACCTTTCCCATCATGGGAAAGTCGAAGGGGACAGAACCCAGAAAGCTGAAGCCCTTCAGAAATGCCCCCTCTGTAGCAGTTTTCAGTGGCAGCTGGATGTCCACCTCCGCGCTGGTTTAACAGCGTCGTAAACCGGGTCCTTCCGCATACTTGCAATAATGATACACCTTCCCCGTTATTTTACTGCGTTAAGTAATTGTGTCATTTTAAGTGGCATAAGTATTCCAATGTAGGAGGTGCGGTGGCCTGAAGTTATGGTTCTGTCTTAGGGACAAAAGCAATAAATCGCCACTGCCTGCCTTGACCTCCAGAAGTCTTCCTGTCCTGCCTGCAGCTCACACTTCTTTGAAGGTCCAGAAGTGGCAGCCTAAGTTCTTCCCAGGCTTGGGCTTAGTTTTTAAACATCCTTCCAAAGTGTACACCGTGGGAGCCATATAAGATGGCTGTGTCAGGAGAGCAACCTAGCTACAGTTGTCCTTTTTCTCTAATCCTTTATGTAACAGAGTAAGCAGGAAATTCATAGGCGGTCTGCGCGGCTCAGAAACACGAAGTACAAGTCTACTCCAGCTGCTGAAAAGAAGGTTTCCACCAAAGGAAAAGGAAGAAGACATATTTTTAAACTGAAAAATGTAAGATGATTGTGGCCATGTTGTCTATAGTAGTATGTGTGTTTTTGTGGCTTCTGCTGTCTTCATTTCTTACCACTGAATGTCGACACAGCTCTCAGAGCCCTCCTCCTGCCCTATAATGTTAATAATACACTCTTTAACGTGTTTTTCTTCTGAGAAAAAAAATAATAAAGTGTCTAAAAGAAACATCAACCTTGAAAACATTTTATCAGATCAGTCTGTATAAAAAAGAGAGTACAGTTCTTGAGAAGGATTTCTTTTTCCCCCTTTTTTGGCTGGCTCAAGCTGCCCTAAGGGCAGCTCTGGTAAGGCATGGGGAGCTGGGGAGCGAACCATGGTCCCATGCGCCTGACTAGGTTTGCCCTAACAGGTGCTTGAACAGCTAAGCTAATCCTCAAGCCCCCCTGAGAGTACAGTTCTTACTGTGGCTAGGTGCACTAGGGAAACTACTTCTTTATCCTTTAAAGACTCAAGTATGTAACAGTGGAACTCATTTTCATATACTTGTTATTATAGCCCCAGAAAATGCATCTTTTGGCACACAGAGATGAATCAGAATTGTTCCTAAACCTTTATTTCCTCCTCTGCTGTACACAGTGGAGGAGACTGTTGAAAGACCTGTGCTGGAGTGCATCAGTAGTACATTTTTGTTGGAATAACTTTTATTTTTTGCAAACACAAGGGAACAGTGAAAAATGCATTGTAGGCTTTTGAAAAGAATCTTCAGAATTATATTCATTTCATTCACCAAAATAGGCATTCTTAAGTTGGGTATTTTCATATATAAAACACAGAAGGTCCTATGGTAGTCTTATACAGATTGTGAATTATTAATGAGAGTAACTGCTCCTCACTTAAGATCTTCGTAATGTTTAGTTTTTATAAAATGAGGCATTATCAATAAATGCAGGCCCTATAGGGACCATACCAAGACAGATGGGAGAGTGTCCCTTTAGCATTAAGAGTGTAAAGCAATTTAAGAGGGCATTTCAGTGGTCATTGGAATGTGGCAGATTGCTAAGAACTCCCAGGAAACTTCCCAGAGCCTTAATTCAGGCTTGCTACAAAACTGATGAGTAGCCTGGCAGGTTCTAGTGTTGAGAAGGACAGTCTTCAGGGAGATACTTTTTCACTGTGTACAGTGTTCACCTGTGCATTCTGTATTATTTTTATTTTATCTTGCTTAGTTCACTAGAGATAGTACGTTTTACAATTGGAATGCTGATGTCTAATGAAGCGCTGACAGATCTTTGTGGCAGATCTCAGCAGCTTAATCAGACACTTGTCCCATTTCTCAGCAATTTTTAAACTAATTGTTGCATAAGTAATGGAAGTGCTCAGGGTATTCTTTGCCCCAGCACTCAGAAACTTATTCATCTTTTTATTGTGATTCTTGTCACCAAATAACAAAATTTAGGATTTCTCAAATTATTCAGCTTTCACATATAGCTGGAAAAATGCCTGTGTAGTGTGCTAATATCTTTACTTGTGTTTTTTTCATAGCCCATCAAAGCTCCTGAGTCTGTTTCCACCATTATCACTGCAGAATCTATCTTCTACAAGGTAAGTGTCTATGAAGAATTGGGCTCTGGTATATAATACATGGCTAAAGTGTTAGCTTAGTCTAAGTGTTTCTGTTATTATGTGCATGAAGTGTGATTTTTTTTTTTTTAAGCCATTTTTCCCTCTAGGCTGTTGTAAAACATCTCATCCACTACTGAGGTAGGAGGAGAAGTTGCCTATGAAAAAAATGTGAAGGTCTTATGTATATTTTTTTTAAATGTAGCTATGCAAATTCTTTAAAATGCTAATACATGTGGAGGAAGATGAAAGAGTGAGCTTTCCACACTAACGTGATAACATTTGTCTTAGTCACTTTGGTTGTTGCTGAGATAAAATACCCACTACCTATACATAAAGGAAGGAAAAGTTGATTTAGCTCACAGTTTGCGGAGGTTTCAGTCCATAGTTGGCTGGCTGCAAGGCAGAGCAGCATTGCAGAGGAGGAACAGGTCATGGACTGATTTAGTAATCCCTCACTCCTAATCCTAGCATTGCGCCATGAATCAATCCCAACATCGTCCACTCTAGATCCAGGCACCTCAGCAAAAAGCCCAATCTAGGACTGCACAAGGCTTTGAGGGGACATCTAGACACAAGCCATTCCAGCACCGGTAGGACAGTGACAGGGTGTGGACTCAGGAAATGCAGACCACACTGTCCAGCACAATAGGCCCAGAGACTCTAAAATACCTTTTCGCAGAGGTGAGAGGAATTGACAGTAGTGGGAATTAACACCTACTAGAAGTTCATGGTGATAAGGTCTTAAGATGTTTTGATAAAGGTAGAAGGTCAGATTCCCTTGCACTAAGGTACACAGATCCCTGTTATCTCCGTGGGAGCAGTGACTTAAGGATACTTGGGAACTGAAGTCTTAGGAAACATTGCAACACACAAAAGACCTCCAAGGCTTGGCAGTCCTGATACAAGTGTCAGTCACTGCGTGTTTTGGCCTGTGAACTATTAGGCAAGAGGCAGTCATGTGAGTTAATACGGGATCCAAATGGACCAAATCCTGGGAAATTTAAGTGGCATGGTGCTTTATGATCATTTATTTATTAACTAACTGTGCTTACCAGACCGAAACAGTCTGTACACAGGTAGATGTCTCTCCTGTATTTCTAGCATTTTGTACAGTACATTCTTAATAAGGAATAGCTGAAGTGTAAGTGTGTGCTTGCTGTGTAGCATCACTGAGCTAAGTATGTTCCTTGTCTTATTTTGTTGAACTTCTCTGTGGGGTGGGTAGTGTTTTCCTTGTTTTTTATGGATAAGGACATTGAGGATAGAAGTAAACTTTTTCGAGATTACACAGCTGACAGTTCATTGAGCAAAGCAGCCTGCAGCAGGAATCTAAGCCCAGACTTTAGATCCTGGCTCCACAGTTTGGCAAGTAATTATATGACTGAGCTAGTACCAACCTCTCTAATGTTCATCTGTAAAATAAGTATTGGTAGTAGGAGATCATACATGTTAACCATTTGGTATTGTTAGCACTTAATGAACGGTAGCAATTAGCATCATCACATCTTTAAATTTGAGTTTTAACTTTTCCAGATAAACACAATTTGCAAATTACATCTGCAGTCTGAGGATTTAGTATCCTAGTGACTGCTGGGAGTGTGCAGTGGAAACACATGTGGAACCTGCAGTATATGGTGATGCACTGTCAACTATGTGTGCTTCTTAAATAATAAGCCCCAAATGCAATGAAATTCTCAAGTTGCGGGGCTGGTGAGATGGCTCAGTGGTCTAAAGCACCT